ATCACATTTGTGCGCAAACTATATACTGTTGTGTAGATACCGATCTGGGCTTTACGTTGGTGAAAACATTTTTGTGAAAAGTGTATCGGTTCCTAAGTTATAAGACGAAACATTTTAAATAATTTGTACCAACGAACCTGTTTCGATTACTCATCGCGCTCGCTGCGGTCTGTGTGTCGGCCGGCTGACGCTGAGTCATCTGCATCGGGTAGCCGCGCGGGCCTTATACGCGGGAGCGAATCGGACATTTTATACACAGTAGCAAAGGACATAAAAAAAAAAAAAATGAGTTCGAAGTTAAACTGCGCTGGATGTTTTAATGCAATAAAAAACAGGCAATATTTGAAATGCATCGTATGCAATGGCATTTATGACCTCACTTGTGCCAACGTTTCGGAGCAACGGTTCTACAGCTTCTTTTTTTTNTACGGCGCCTCTAATAAGGGAAGCAAGAGAGAGTGGAACTGTCCGGCATGTGTCAACAAACGCCCCAAGGGTGACAATACAGATACCCCAGTGCGTAAGGATAATATGCCTCATAACATCGCACTTGAAACTGTCTCATCACCTGAGGATGATGCTGGAGTATATGAAAATGTAACTTTGCGTCGCAAAACCAGTGCATCGAGTACTATAACAGATCCAAAAGACAGTGAATTTCTCAAGATGATTAAACTGGAGGTAAGGGCAGCCGTCCGCGCCGAATTGGCCCCAATTAGTGAGAAACTCAACGAATTGCAGAACTCAGTTCAATATGTGAGCAATCAATACGACGACATCGTAAAGACGACTAGCAAAATAATGAACGACTATAAAAACCTACAGTCAGAGTGCAGCACCCTGCGTGCAACTGTCGAGGACCTATCTGAGCGACTTAATAATATGGAGCAGCAGGCGAGAGAAGCAAACTTGGAGATTCATGGTGTGCCGTACCACCGATCTGAGAATGTATTGGCGATTGTGAATAAGATTGCGGAAGTGGTTTCTCACAAGCTAAATGACATTGATGTGTTGAAATGCACTCGTGTGGCCAGCATCAACAAAGACAACAAGCGCCCCCGCTCGATCATTGTCAAGCTGAAAGGCTCGCGCTCTCGCGATGAATTCTACTCGGCGGTCACACGGTACAACAGGTCCCATCCGAAGAACAGGCTGAGCTCGTCGCTGCTTGGCATTGCTGGTGACAGCTGTCCTGTCTACGTCTCCGAGCATCTCTCACCTGCCAACAAGGCCTTGCATGCCGCAACTAGAGCTAAGTGCAAGGAGTTATCGTATAAGTTTGTTTGGGTACGAAATGGCCGCATATTTGCTCGCAAGAATGAGACGTCGCCATTCATATTTGTGAAGAATCGGCAAGTGCTGGACACGTTGCACTGATGTTGGCATTTGTTGTCTCTAGTTGTAACATATTATGTTCTATAGCCTGTATTGTATTAACAATACAGGCTACGTATCCATTAGGATACGTTGTCAATATATTATCAAAATATAAGGGGTATGAAAAGTAAATGCACCGATATTTGTAACTCAATTGTGACTGGTAATTACGATGTTTTGTGTTTATGTGAGACTTGGCTTGATAATTCTGTGTCATCTTCTGAGTTTTTCGATCAGAGATATGTTGTTTATCGCAGAGACCGCCCTCTTGAGTTTTTGAATACTTATAGTAAGTCACATGGTGGTGGTGTACTTATCGCTGTTAAGAGGAATCTCACTAGCTTACATAAACCGGAGTGGCAAACATCCGTTGAGGACGCCTGGGTCAGCATTCGTCTTAAGGGTTTCACCCTTAATCTATGCGTTGTCTACCTGCCTTCATACTTATCGCTTGACCATTACTTAGAATTTATAAATAATTGTGAACGGTTACACCTGGCTTCTTCGGATCGTTGTATTATAATAGGGGATTTTAATTTACCTGATAATGATTGGACTATAGATCCGGATCAGTTGGTATCATCCAATCAAAAAGTGACGGTTGTTTGTGACTTGATGGCAACTTGTGATTTACGCCAACATAACAAGATCCTAAATAAAAATCGCAGAATCTTGGATCTTATACTCTGCAACTCGGAAATAGTCGCATCCGTAACTGAAGCACAGGCTCTTGGACGGTGTGATGAACATCATCCCCCTCTAGGTATAGCTATAAAATGTAATAAATTTTCAATTTTAAAAGAGGTCAACACTAGCAGGTATAGGTTTCGGAGCGCTAACTTTGAGGCTTGTAATGAAGAACTCTCGCGGATACCCTGGGAAAAGTTTAGTCATCTCAACTGTGATGACTTCCTGCAGTGCTTTTATAATCATCTATGGCAGACCATAGGTAAACATACACCCTTGTCAAAGACAAAAGGATCCTGGCCTAGTTGGTTTTCACGTTCGCTAATAAAAATGATCAGAGAAAAGGATAAGTATCATTATAAATATCGAAAGTACGGTAATCCCCGTGATTTTGATACATTCGCAGTGTTGAGAGCAAGAGTTAAAATTTCCTTTGATAAATGTTTTAAGTCTTATATTTCAGCTATTGAAGACAGCCTTAAAACGGACATAAAAAAATTTTGGCACTTCACAAAAACGAAAAAAGAAACGAATGCCCTCCCTAATGATATGTTTCTTGAAACGCACACCGCATCTAATGGCCTTGATATAGCCAATTTGTTTGCAAAGAACTTCGCATCAGTATATAATAAGGAGTCTAATACTACATACAGTCCAGACTTCCATGAATCTAATAGTTGCATTGCGCCTATAATTATAACAGATTCCGATATTGAACCAGTCCTCAAAGCTTTAGATGTTAACAAGGGCGCAGGCCCTGATGGCATCCCACCTGTAATAATAAAAGCATGTGCCAGTAGTTTGGTACGCCCACTCCAGATTATTTATAATAAAAATCTGAAATTGGGAATTTTCCCTGAACTCTGGAAATTAACCAAAATTGTACCTGTGTATAAATCCGGTAATAGGATGCATGTTAGGAATTACCATAAGTATTATCTCTTGTTTCGCCAAGATATTTGAAAGCATAGTGTATAAGCATATTTACTCTCATTTGAAGCCCATGATAAGTCACAGGCAGCATGGATTTGTTCCTGGTAGATCTACTGCTTCCAATCTTCTCACATTTGTTCATTTCCTTAACTCTAGCTTTGATAGGCGTACTCAAGTTGATGCATTGTATACCGACTTCTCTAAGGCCTTTGATAAGGTCGACCATGTAATACTAAGTCGTAAGGCTCATCATCTCGGTATACATGGCTCACTCCTGCGATGGCTTGAGTCGTACCTCGATAATCGTACCCAGTTAGTCACAGTCTATGGCTATGATTCCGTACCATTCACGGCCTATTCTGGTATACCACAAGGTTCCAATTTGGGACCTCTGTTATTTGTATTGTTTGTCAATGATCTTCTTAATTTAATGACTTGTGATTGCCTAGCGTACGCGGATGACATAAAGATATATAAAGAGATACGCACTCAGGGGGATTGCGAGGTGTTGCAGCGCAATATTGATATGGTACATGAATGGTGTGTTAAAAATAATATGTCTTTGAATATTGGGAAGTGTAATGTCATCACATTCACTAAAAAACGATTGGCAATGACACGTGACTATAACATTAATGCTGTTGTACTCAAACGCCTTAACGTAGTTAAGGACCTTGGTGTACTACTTGACTCGAAACTTTCATACACTTATCACTACGACTATATCGTTTCAAAGGCTAATAGAGTTTTAGGTTTTGTTCTTAGAACTACGAAACCTTTCAGAAAAGCCGATAGTGTTGTATTGCTGTTTGTAACATTGGTTCGAAGCATATTAGAATATTGTTCAATCATTTGGTCACCCTTCTATCTCTGCCACATCTCTCGTATCGAATCCGTACAGAGGCGTTTCCTCCGTGTTCTGAGCGCCAGGTGCGGTATGAGACGCAGATTACCATCTTATGAATTGAGACTATCACATTTTTCAATTATGTCTCTCGCTCAACGACGCAGGATGGCGGAATTCTCAATATTGTTTAAAATAATAAATGCCAAATGGGATTCAAGTGAGTTGCTAAGCCATTTCTCATTTAAGACCACTGGTAGTGCAAGAACTCAAAATCTTTTTTCCATACCAGTTGCTCATAATAATGTCACATTCAATGACCCTATCTACCGAATGTGCAGATCGTACAATAATGTAAGTAAAGATCTGGACCTCTTCGGTCCAACTAATACATTTATTCGGACTTGTAGGGATAGGGTAAATGAATTGTTATAATAAGATTGAGTGAAACTGTCTTTTGTTTATAAGCCCGTTTTTTTGTTATTTCTTTGTTATTTAAATGCTGTGCCTGGCTCTAATCGGAGTTCAGACTTAATATTGTGCTATGTTGTTGTGTTAATTGTATTGTTATTGTTTGTTCTCTGTAGCTGTGCCTTATATAAATAAATAAATAAATAAATAAGGTTACAAGTAGTGGTAGTACTGGTAGGTACCTACATAATACATAGTTTATTTTATGTGGTTGATTCGTTCTTTGACTGACCAAAGTCCACTAGTCCGGTTGTTATTACAAGCGGCCCGATTTCTTTTTTGATACGTCAATAATTTTCTATTACATTGATTACAATGTAATTATTATTGTGTTATATTTATAAAGGCATAGTTATTATCGCTTTAACGCATAATAAGATACTTTGCTTGTCTAAAAAAAAAACGCGCGCGGCGCTTATTGCAAGCGGACACGTTACAATTCGCTCTGTATTTATTGAACTGTTAACAGTGTAAAATCATCACATTTGTGCGCAAACTATATACTGTTGTGTAGATACCGATCTGGGCTTTACGTTGGTGAAAACAGTTTTGTGAAAAGTGTATCGGTTCCTAAGTTATAAGACGAAACATTTTAAATAATTTGTACCAACGAACCTGTTTCGATTACTCATCGCGCTCGCTGCGGTCTNACTTAGTTAATTACGTCATAATAAACTATTTACTCCAGCCAGCTCCACCAAGACTCCATCACAAAGATGTCGTACAGCGTTGTCAGGATTTGTTTCGAGATGCTGAACGCTTCTGAGGAGCTGACCTTCACCCACACCTGGGGGTATAGAGACAAGAACGGCAACTGGCAGGGCATCGTCGACGACCTCATCAAGAAGAAAGCTGATCTTGGTAAGGAATTATACACCCAGCTTGATGAAAGAGCTTAAAGGTAAGTAAATCTACACATTCTTGCTTAATGCTACTGACCAAAGTGTAGAAAGGCTATACGATATGAAAAATCAAAATCTTTACAAAGAGTAAGTTAATTTGATCTGTGGTGCGGACAGGCAACATAATGTGTAAGAATTTGATGGATTATTTTGCTTTATTGATTGCTTAAAACTAACATACCCTGTATATTTCACAACCATTGCGCTTGCTAAGCTTTGCACATAATTACTTTAATTACTTATTTGATACTGAGTCAATTCTAACTACTTCAGTTAGTTCTGCATACTTTAATGGTTTTTCTTCCCCTTCTCTGCAATCCTTTAGTCATTTGTATGTGTCAACGCGAAATTGTGAACTCCGACAGTTTATAATATAACGCGTGAGATTGTAAACTAAAAGTGGGTTAGGTTAGGTTAGATTGTATTCTAACTACGTCTGATTATAATCTGACGGAATTCACAATATTACGGTGACATATTATGTAAATCAGTCGTTTACGTATAAATCGCTTTATGCAGGTACCCTCACAATCTTCACCCAAGAGCGCATGGAAGTTGTGGACTACATCGCTATGGTAGGCTCCACGGCGGTGCGCTTCGTGTTCCGAGAGCCTCCTCTCTCTTACATATCTAATATCTTCACTCTACCCTTCACGGCTGCGGTCTGGTGGGCCATTGTGGTGTGTGTACTGGGATGTTCCGTGTTTCTCTACATCACATCTAAATGGGAAGCTTCCATGAGTATGGTAAGGACTACTGTACTCGTATTGAATGCGTTAAACTCGGGCATTTTCAGACTACCCTTCATGATTGCAATTTGGTAGGCCATTGTGGTATGTGTACTGGGATGCTCCGTGTTCCTTTACATAACTTCGAAATGCGAGGCTTCTATGAGCATGGTAGGAACTTGAATTATCTTGTAGGCTAGTTTACTCGTGATTTAAAAAGATTCGTCTCCCCTAAGCGTATTGCATTAGCAATTATTTTAAAATATCTTTGTTTGGATACTTTGCTTGTCATGGTGTAGAGGTGTACACTGTACTAAAACTTAAACATTATGTTTAGCATCAATTCCAACTGGATGGCTCGTGGGCTGACGTGATCATCTTGATCATCGGAGCCGTCTTGCAACAAGGATGTACTCTCGAACCAAGATATGCCGCAGGTCAGTACAAGATGGAACACAACTAAATACTGGCATTTCATGGTTTTTATGCTGAACAAGGCAGGTATTTGACCGCAATCGCACCTGATGTTAAGTGTGTAGTTGATAGGAAAGATTTTGTAACAGAAAATGTTTCATTTCATATTCGAAAGAAGGAAAGCCATAATATTTTAATACGATAGGGCATTACAAGTAAAGACATGTCAGTATGTAGCACAAGTAAAACACCCCAGCAGAGTAGAAACACCCGTCTGCAAATTAAAGGTAGTAAAAGAGCCACCTTAAAGTTCAGCCATCCAAATGATACCACAATTTTTTTGCAAACGCGATGTGCATAGGAACTCCTCCTTTAGCATTATGCTCATTCCCCTTTCGTATCAGACTTTTATTTACAGAACTTAGGTTAGGTAATAACGACTTTCACATTGTCAAAAGACAAATCCAGATCACGTTCTTAATAACAGGTAGAGGAGTAACCCTGCTGCTATTCTTGGCTCTGACTATTCTGTACGCGGCGTATTCGGCCAACATTGTCGTGCTCCTCAGAGCTCCTAGCTCCTCAGTGAGATCGTTGCCGGACCTTCTGAACTCCCCTCTTAAGCTGGGAGCCAGCGACTTTGAGTATAACAGGTATTTCTTCAAGGTGAGTCGTCATTTATTTCTATAAACACAAACACAAAAAGTCCCGTTAAACACTGCCTAGTTATACTTTTGTTACGAATGGGTTTACCACAGTAATCCAGCAGTGACGGGCTTCGAACTCCCGACCCGAATCAACAGTCCGATGCCGACACCATTGGACTATTATCGCCTCATTATCACTTCTTGTGAACAAAGACTGGGTTCCTGCAACTGGCTATGACCTATTTTTACCTGAATTCATAAAATGGCAACCTTTTGACGGTCGTCATTGTAGCGACGTCTATTTTGATTGCAGAAACTGAAAGATCCTATCCGTAAAGCGATTTACGATAAGAAAATAGCTCCAAAAGGGAAGAAACCTAACTACTACTCAATGGAAGAAGGAGTAGAGAAGATCAGGCGGGTAAGTGGATACTCCTAGTGTTTAGGTAGATGCCTATACTTACCTTTTATTGCACTTAAGATACAATGTTGGACTATGTGATACTTAGATGATCTAGAGGCGTGGCATTACCATTACTGACTACACTTATGATATACTCATGCCCGTTTTCACCATCAATCCCTAATTTTTAAGTTACCCCTATGACCACAAAATTCCTGTTAATTGTTACCATAGGGGTCACTTAAAAATTAGGTATTGATGGTGAAAACGGACATTAGTCCCCTAACGCCCGTATTCACAAACATTACTATGAGCTCTCACAGTGCGCGTGGACGCACAGGGTCACAAACGAACCAATCACAGAGCTCTTTTCAACAAACGTTCAATTTGCTGCTTCACTTAGGTAAGCAAACATCGTTTGTGAATACGGTGTTAGGCCACAGGTTAGGCTTGATTAGTAAGTACCTTAATACCCGTTTTCACCATCAATTCCTAATTTTTAAGTGACCCCTATAAATAGTAACACACAACAGGAATTTTATTTTTATATGGTGGTGGATATGATGAATGAATGAATATGGATGGTGAAAACGGGCATCAGTCTAGGGCATGAATATCGGAATCTCGGAATCTCGTAATATCGGAATCTCGGACTGCGAGATCCGATATTTCAATTCCGATATTGAGCGACCCAATATCGTAATATCGGAATCAGATAAAAGTTTCAATTGAGATTTTAAACAAAGCGTTTAAGCTCGCCACAACCTGCCACAAAGCCCAAATTACATGATTGGCAAAGACCAACGATTTTCTCATGTATCTCACCATCACTTTTTGTTCCACTGCAAATATTTTAATATCTTTACTATTTATGTTTAATTTAACTTGTTATAAATCAATTTTAGCATTTGCCATAGGTACTTGGTCAACAAAGAACGACATCTCAACTCCCATTCAAACATTAATTTTACTGGACTATGGACCGTCAGTTCTGCGTACTATGTGCCCTGCCCATTGCCACTTCAGCTTGCTAATCCGTCGGGCTATGTCAGTGACCTTAGTTAGTTTACGGAGCTCCTCGTTTCTGATTAATCTCGTAAAGAAACACCTTTTTTTTTTTTTCGTCGGGAAATGCTTTGCGCATACCCACTGGTCTATGGGGACGGCCAGTGGGTTATGTGGGACTCTCCCCGCCTACCCACTAAAGGCGGGGCCTACCCACTAAAACCCGACGGTTTCCACCAGAGCCCAAAGAAACGGAGCCGCGAGTTATTGTCCTGGTTGGACATTCGTCCGCAGCTCCGCCTCAGGCTAGAGGCTCGCTCACAAGCAAGCCTCACTGGCTTCGAGGGAACCCCCAATTCCCTCCTCCAGTTGTTTTTTATAGAGGCTTTCTCCTCGCGGCCCTGGTAAAACAGGACCCCCGGCCTGCCGTAGCGGGTTACGGTCTGCTCTATGCCGCTGCTCGGTCAGCTCTGCTGATCAGAGAAGTACCGAGAGCGGCCCTCCAAAGAATGGGCCCGGGCAAACGCCCCGCCAGCCCCCACCTGTGGGGGTTTTTAAAGATGTCCCCTGCATCGTGGCCCGGGCAAATGCCTCGACGGCCCCCGGCCCACTCAATAAAAAATATAGAGCGTTAATAACAAAAGGATTGGATACTATCTGCTTTACAGAAGTGCCACCAGCAAAAAATAATCAAATCATTTAGATTACGTTTTTATGTGATTACTTCTTTTGTTTTTTTAGGAATGCCGCCAAAAACCAATGCCGAAAGGCAAAAAGCTTACAGAGAACGACTCAAAATGGATAAACATGATGGAACAAAAATAATTTTATTAAAATAGTATGAATGATTACTCCCTTATTTTATTTCTAACCCCTTAATATTACCCCGTATTTGGGTGCATACTTACAAATATTTCGAATTGAATAAATGATGAGCATTCACAATATTTCGCCAATGTATAACAAGCCTTATGGCCTTACTATTTCGTTACTACCGTTTCGTTACGTACATTTTTTTTGAGAAAAACTCAAATACTCTTTTTTTAAATACATACTTATTATACATAGAAAACACCCAGCCCAATACAAACAAATATGTTCATGCACACAAATGTTTGTACTGTGCGGAAATCGAACCCGCTACCTCCGGAATAGTAGTCCGTTTCGAACCACTACACCAAACGGCCGACTGATATTAAAGATTTATGGCGTCACTTATCTACTATTGATTTTTAAGCAACTAAAACATATTTTCATCGAACTAACTGCTTCAAGGCTAAAATATTATTGGTTAAAAAATTATTGTTCATTGGTTAACTAGCTAATTTCCGTCGATGCCTCGTAATTGGTTTGCGTCTGGATGAGCCGCGGATGTGTCTGCATAACCTTCATTTGATACTAGCGGTAGCGACCCGCCCCGGCTTCATACGGGTAGAGAATATACGCATACACTCATCCAAAAATTTAAAAAAATATAATATGCCTGCCTATGTAAAAAAAATGATTCTAACGGTGAAATATTTTTTCAAATCGATCAATATAAACATACAAAAATACAAATCCTCTATATAAATATTAGTTAGCGGTCTGAATCCAGGCTGTGTCGGCTTATCACCGTCACGCGTCACGCCGCGACGCGTGACAGACAGACAAACACCGACTAATCCACTAGTTCGTACATTTGGACGCTTTTGTTTTAAACTCAAAACTACGGATTACGTTCTGGCTTTAAAATAATTGTTCAAATAATTAAATGTGCTACACCAAGAGGCTGGTGGTGTGCCCGTAGTTGTAGAGTCCTGTTTCAATGAGTATGAGTAGCTATAATGTCTTGATCATAATTTGAGTTCTTTTTATTAGCCAAATTAAGTCCACTGCTGGACAAAGGCCTCCCACAAGGCTTTCCATAATGAACGGTCCTACGCTGCCCGGATCCATCCGCATAATTTTTCATAATTTTAGTATTAATCTGCTTCCTTTAACTTGTCGTTAATTGTTGCTTTGAAGTAATATTTTAGTTATATTCGCATTATTTATGTCACGTATAAAACTAGGAACGTAAATACACTTCAATAATCGTGATTATCGGTTTATTATACAGCCTACATACAACCCTGTGACCACAACCACATCGCACCAAGTGTTGCTTTAGTACACTGTCGATTATTATTATTATCAAATCAAATCAAATCAAATCATTTATTTGTAAAACATAGGTAAATGTATAAATCAGGTGGTACATAATAATGGGTAGAGCTCTATGTTTGGCCTATGAGTGGCATACAAATTATAAGTCCCATATAAAGATACAAAAAAAATTAATAGTTACATAACATAATAATTCAATGTCAATTTTTAGAATTTAAATTTAATGCTTACAAAACTATCATGTCAAAATTATATTACAAATTAGTATCAGTCAAATATTCAGTTAATGTATAATATGATTTTCTTAATACTTTTAATTTGTTACAAAAAGTGTTATAAGATTATCTCAATTTATTAGTAGGTACGACCATGAAGTAGGTCCTAATAGGAAACTAAAATTTTTACGACGCTTATATTCTCTGAGCCGTTATGTTGCATGTAGTGAAAAGGTTCGGGATCAGGTTAACATTAATGTCAAAAACAGCCAAGACCAAAAATTATGACAGTTTTTTATTGGTCGGTATAGCGTATTTTGCGCTGTTACGTTTTATTGCTTATCTAAATATATAAAAGGAGAAACTGACTGACTGACTGACAGATCAACGCACAGCCTAAACGGCTTAACGTAGGCACTTGAAATTTGGAAGGGACGTAGCTTAGGTACCGTAGAGGTGCACTAAGAAAGGAATTCCCGAAATTCCCACGGGAACGGGAATTAGCGGGAAAAACGGGATTCACGCGTACGAAGTCGCGGGCGGCCGCTAGTTATCGATATGATTGGTTACAACACTAATGTTAATGTACCTAATGCACACTGCGTGACGAGCTGCGACAACCCTGAGGTTGCAACTAATAGATACAACCCTATCACATAATGGATAATAGTTTATTTTAAACAAACCGATATTTAGAATTAGTAAAACCGCAACGTGGTTTAGATATTTAGGCGAGCATAGTATTTAGTATTCGTGGCAGTGTTACCTATGTAGTTTTTATATCACAGGCTCTGGAAAAAATATACAAATACCAGTACTTACCTGTTGATCAGTCGTGTGAAAATACCAAGAGATTTTTTTTATAATTTTAATTCGTAATTTTCCATTAGCATGTAATTGTACATACATACCTATCGTCGGTTGGTACCTAAGTGTATCTACTTGGCAGCAAATGGTTAGTGGTCGTAGACGACCATAGCAAAACTGCAACCATTCGATACTTATGCTGTTATGGATTTCATGCAGGATCAGTCTATCATGTTGAATGTTGGCAAAACATTGCACGATACCTACCCTTACGATCAGAGGCAGAAAAATCTGCGGTCTGACGGGAACCGGACTGCAACCGATCTTTCGGCTTTTGTCTTTTTCCATTCAGCCCGCAGACAACGGCCGGAGCTATTTGCACATTTGTCAGCCGCCATGTATCAGTTGCCGTGACGCGATCAATCCCGGGCCCGCGGGACCTATTTCCCGCGTGACGTGCGCCGCTCTTTTTGAGCCGCGCTAACAACGTAATGGGTTTTGGTAAAAGCCGCCGCAGACAAGTCGCTCGCATATTACTTGTTAATTGTTAATTGGCACTAATGAAACACTCTAAAATAAACATTTTAATAGACTTTCTTCGCCCCTTTTCTAAACATGAGGAAAACACGAATCGATTTAAGTTCTCTAAATATCATAACTCGTAAAAATCACATTTAGGTATATGCTTGATCTATATGCTGTGAAATAAATTAGGGAACATCTAATCGTGAGAGCCAATTGAGCATTTAGTTCTAACTATAAAACATTTGCAATCCTCGTTTAAATGGCGTCTAACCTTTGCCTGCGCGAGGCCGTCCGGCACCTTCGGCAAATATTTAAAAA